TTTTTTCTAACTTTTTCTTTTAAAATAAAATAAAATAATAATAAAATTAATAGAATAAATAAATAATTTAAAATAAAAATATATTAAAATTACGGATCTCGATAATATCGTAAATTAATTTAAATTTAAGGAAGCCAAATCTCCGAATAAATAGAGTTTCCAAATCATTTTAATTTAATGATAGGCAGGGTATTACACGTGGGCCTGAGCGCCCACAATGGTTTCTGCACGCGGGCCTAGCAGACTACGAGCCCGGGTGCTGCTATGCGCTTGTGCGTATGATCCGTGAGGGCACGTGTGGGCGTGCGCACGCATGGAGCGTGTTAGATGGGCCGCAAGCTCTATTCGTGTAGGCCATCTCCCTTAGGCATGGGCTTTCTTAAACCCATTAATTTTACTTGGGACTTAAGTCTTTTGGCTTAAACAAACTTGGCCCATCTCTTGGAATAATCCCAATTAGGAAAGTAGTCAATGATGAAATTATTTTTATGTTCTGGGCATTCCCATTTATGAAACTAAAACTTTCTTTCCTGTTTGAGTTGGGACCTACTGGATTCCTCTTTGATGCAGATTGGCATCCTTGACACCAAATTGGGGTATCTAATAGCACATCTCATGGTCCATTAAGTCCCCATTCTTCACGTGATCTTCTTTGGGTGCACAGGTTGGGCTTCTTGGAGGGCTATTGGATTGGCCTTTTAGGACTAGACCCATATCCACTTAAGGTTGTCCTTTCCTCATTTTGGTGATTTTAGGAAACCGTCCCTGTTGGATTTTAGTTTTTTGTTCCATTAAAGTCATAGTGATCTTTGTTAGCATCATCCTTCCATCGGTGTTTCTAGGACAACTTCTTACGGACATCGAGTGTGTTATTAACTACCTTTGTCTTTAGGCAATTATCTTGCGAAAATCCCGAATGTCCGCAAGTTTCTTGTCTTTTCCGGGACTTTTCCTTTAGGATTATTTTGGTCCTTCCCAGAATCACATCAGAATGGTTATGCATAACACTCTTCAAAAAATTTCAGCATGCCTTATGTATTATTACTCGAACTTGAAACTAAGATAACTAGTATTTGGAAGTTTGAGGGGCCTATTTAGACTTTTTTATAATCTAAATATCCATTTTTATACATAAGTACATTATCACATTATGGCATGAATTCTTTTGAAGCGTTTAAGGTACATGATTTTGGTGCTAGTTAGTACTTATTATGTGTATAAATTAGAAGGTTGTTTATTGTTGGGATGTTTAGAATAAAACAAATTATTTTTTCCTTTCAAACCATGAGTGAAAGATGTGTTAACTTGAAAGTTGTATTAATAAGACTCTCAAAAGGAGCCTTTTTAAGCTCTTGACATAATTATCTAGGCAACATTCAGAGATTTAAGAAAAGAAAAAACATTGGTTGCCATGTAGGGACAGTCTTAAAAAAGTTTATGTTTCTTAGAACCATTTATTAGTTTAATTAGAATTGGTCAAAGGTAGTTTATTTCATTTTATTATTTCTTTTTTGTTTTTTTGATGTTACTTTAGTAGCTATACTTTGTTTAGCTTTTGTTTTAGTCCTTTGTTTTTATTTGAAATAAGCCAAAATTAATTAGCCTATGCCCATGTCACTGAATGATTTTCTCACTCGTCATTTGGTTTTATTTTCCAAACTTCGTCTCTTTATCATACTAATATTTGTTTTAAATATCTAATCCCACCTTAAACATATTAGTGGCAACATATTTCTTGAATTCATTGAGAATTCTCTTTTTCACTATTTTTACCCTATGTCACAGTTATCATTTAAGACACTAAATAATTTGGGATGTTAAAGCAACTATAAAAATTTAGATGATTTTTTTTTAAAGTTAAAGCAGCTTTTGTTTTAGTCCTTTGTTTTTATTTGAAATAAGCCAAAATTAATTAGCCTATGCCCATGTCACTGAATGATTTTCTCACTCGTCATTTGGTTTCATTTTCCAAACTTAGTCTCTTTATCAGACTAATATCTATTTTAAATATCTAATCCCACCTTAAACAGATTAGTGGCAACATGTTTTTTGAATTCATTGAGAATTCTCTTTTTCACTATTTTACCCTATGTCACAGTTATCATTTAAGACATTAAATAATTTGGGATGTTAAAATAGCTATAAAAATTTAGATGATTTTTTTTTAAGTTAAAGCAGCTTTTGTTTTAGTCCTTTGTTTTTATTTGAAATAAGCCAAAATTAATTAGCCTATGCCCATGTCACTGAATGATTTTCTCACTCGTCATTTGGTTTTATTTTCCAAACTTAGTCTCTTTCTAAGACTAATATCTATTTTAAATATCTAATGCCACCTTAAACATATTACTGGCAACATATTTTTTAAATTCATTGAGAATTCTCTTTTTCACTATTTTTACCCTATGTCATAGTTATCATTTAAGACACTAAATAATTTGGGATGTTAAAGCAGTTACAAAAATTTAGATGATTTTTTTTAAGTTAAAGCAGCTTTTGTTTTAGTCCTTTGTTTTTATTTGAAATAAGCCAAAATTAATTAGCCTATGCCCATGTCACTGAATGATTTTCTCACTCGTCATTTGGTTTCATTTTCCAAACTTAGTCTCTTTATCAGACTAATATCTGTTTTAAATATCTAATCCCACCTTAAATAGATTAGTGGCAACATGTTTTTTGAATTCATTGAGAATTCTCTTTTTCACTATTTTTACACTATGTCACAGTTATCATTTAAGATACTAAATAATTTGGGATGTTAAAGCAGCTATAAAAATTTAGATGATTTTTTTTATAGTTAAAGCAACTTTTGTTTTAATCCTTTGTTTTTATTTGAAATAAGCCAAAATTAATTAGTCTTTGCCCATGTCACAGAATGATTTTCTCACTCTATCATTTGTTTTTTTTTTCCAAACTTAGTCTCTTTATAAGACTAATATATGTTTTAAATATCTAATCCCACCTTAAACAGATTACTGGCAACATATTTTTTGAATTCATTAAGAATTCTCTTTTTCACTATTTTTACCCTATGTCACAGTTATCATTTAAGACACTAAATAATTTGGGATATTAAAGCAATTATAAAAATTTAGATGATTTTTTTTTAAAGTTAAAGCAGCTTTTGTTTTAGTCCTTTGTTTTTATTTGAAATAAGCCAAAATTAATTAGCCTATGCCCATGTCACTGAATGATTTTCTCACTCGTCATTTGGTTTCCTTTTCTAAACTTAGTCTCTTTATCAGACTAATATCTGTTTTAAATATCTAATCCCACCTTAAACAGATTAGTGGCAACATGTTTTTTGAATTCATTGAGAATTCTCTTTTTCACTATTTTTACCCTATGTCACAGTTATTATTTAAGACACTAAATAATTTGGGATGTTAAAGCAGCTATAAAAATTTAGATGATTTTTTTTTAAAGTTATCTTGAGGGAAGCAATTTGGTAATTTAACCTTCAATATCCTTGTCTCGCACATCAAAGTTGAGATTGATATACCACCTTCTTCTGCCTCCCGTTTAATTTAACCATAATATTTCTAACTTTATAAACGTAAACATATTTGAACTTATAATGTAACTTACAAAGTAGGATGCATGTGCTAACGTCATAACACAGTATCAATGTAGTCTGGAACTTGATGAAAACTAAAGCATACCATGCTTATGCATGATAGGAAGAAATTTGATTATTACTTTAAAGGATGGTATGATCATGACATGATGCTTGCCCTACTTTTTCCCATTATACATGCTCTTAAGAGTATTATTAAAAGCACTATTTCTCTCATTAATTTTGCCAGATAATGAAAAGAAATAAAAACTGTTAAATGTAATTTTTTATAGCACCATAATAATTAATTATTGCTACTTTAAGGCATGGGATGTCATAAAGATTGAAAGATGAGGAGCAACCACCATTCACTTTGCTTCTTTCAAACTAAGAGGTGAGTGTTCATAAGAAACTACATGCAGAGAACAAGGTTGCACTAGCATTCAATTTATTCAAACCCATAAATCATATAACCTCTATAGACATGGTTCCATCATCCTCATGTCTTTCAAATAAAAGATAAAGGGTATTAATTAGGTACACAACTTCTTAATTTTACACACCATATATACAATTCATATCAATATATAATTAATTTATATTTATCTAATACTATATACATGTTATAAACTATTATTTAACTGAATACTTGTTACTTTCTTAGTTGATGTTGTAGATTTGAGGTGGTTGTACTCATGTATATTATCTTTTTAATGTTGTTTTTAATTATTTTGTATATTTTACTAAATTAATGAATATATAAATTTTTATTCAAAAAATGCTAAATACATGTGTAGATTAGTTATGCACTTATTAGATTATGGAAATACTTAAATTAGTTATATATATAGTAAAATTAATTATGAAAATCAATTAATATTTTTTTATATGTAGCTTAATATGGTGAAGATTACACCTAATAATATACATACATAATTAAACGCCATTACCATATTCTTAAAAAATATTGTTTATTTTATTTTATAGTTGTAATTTCTTTGGGATAATTAATATTTAAATAAATTAAATTGCTTTGGAGAATTTTAATAGATTTAAATGATTAAAAAAAAAAAAGAAAATCGACTTCGTGGATATGTAAACCCGAGTCAGTAGCGAGTCCAATGAGCAACAGATATGGCGGACAAGTGGAAACACACTGCTCTGTTAGTCATCGACATGCAGGTTTCTCTTCGATGTATGACTGAAATCTTCGTGTGAATATGTGTATCTATATGAGAATTCATTACTTTCTTTTCCCTTTTTTCGCTGGTTTATGTGTCATAGAATGATTTCATCCAAGAGGGTTCTGTACTGAAAGTGAACGGAGGCAATGCCATTGTTCCCAATGTATTGAAGGCTGTTGAAGTCGCTAGACAACGTGGTATCCTCATAGTTTGGGTAATTCCATCTTGCTATAGCTTCTAGTTTCGCTCATTGTTTTAAATTTCCTCTTCTGTTTATTTTTGTGTATTGCTGTTTGTTTCATCGGAAAATATATCCGGAAATTTTTGGTTTTAACCCTGTGAAATAGAAGAGATCGTTCCCTAGCTGCCGAGTGACTTCAAGAGAGATGGTGATTCAATTAAAATTTCATGGCAATTTTGATAATTTGGGGTATATAGCGTTAAAAATGTTGTGTTTGTAGCTAAAATGTTTGCCTTAGGAAGTAGATTAATTTAGTCCTAGTTGCATAATTCTATGCCACACTAACCGAGTTCTTGGTGTGTGTCTCCTGAATTGATTTTCTTTTCTGGAACAAACTAGAAGAAGAGTAGCTCAGGAAAATCATCAATACTGCGGATAATCAAATGCGGGGAAATTTTGAATGACTCTTTTCGGATTAATGCGTTTTCAATTTTGACCTTTTGAAGGTAACTTAATTAGATTTTAATAGATTTGTAAATGCTGTAAATGAGTGGCAACCTCTTGGTACTTATATTAATACAATATACACTTTTATTTTAAAAAACTGAAGGTAACTTAATTAGATAAGATCAGAATTTTCTGAATTCTAATAATCTTTTATCCATTCTCACTTCATCTCCTTAAAACTCAAACTTATGAATTTTCCTCTAGCCATTGGAACTCTATAACTATTTCAAATTCTCCTTTCTTAACACTCTAGGATTTTCAGTCAGCTTATATCTGCGATTTTTATATTTTTATAAAAAGTATTGGCTTTACTGGCCTCCTTAAAACAAAAAAGCTAGAGACGGAAAAGGACTTTTGCTAATTTTCTGATTGGAGATAAATAATCTGCTCTGTTAGTCCTTTATTGATGAGAAGTGACATTTTTGCATCTAAGTTCTACCCTAACTGTTGTAATTCACGAGTCATTTTCCTAGTCCTTCGTAACTGTTTCAGGGGTCCATACTTTTGCATCTTTGTCAATGTTTTCTCCTGGAATTCCTACTTTCATGGACCATTTGTGTCATTATCCACAACATTGGAAGGCCATGGGCCTTTACAATATTTCCTGTACATGTGTGTGTTTGTCTGTGATTATCCCTAAAGGTACCTCCCTTTCCCTCTTTAACTTCCTTCGTTCCTACAAGCATTTCTTCCTATGACCATAACACTATTGGATCTTGCTGCCTTAATTAGGCATGAATTGGAAAAGACTAGGGTTGCAGACTATCATTGACCTCTTGCATTCTCCTTTTCAAGTTGAAGGGCTAGAATACCTCTACCTGAATTACTGCAAGTATAGTACAATTTGTTGACTGTAGTGGATCTGAGTTTCTCTTCTTTCTTATAGTTTGGTTAGCAAAATATTGTTTTTGCCATCATCCAATTCTGCAACCAAACTAGTGAAGGAAGTGTTTAGATATCTCTATCTTTTTCTGGAAGTACGAAGCTTGTGTGAATGCCCTTGGTCATGGCTTTTGTGTATTCTTGTCTCTTGGAGTGAAGGTAGTGGGTGGTTTATTTATTGCACTCAATTTCCGGCTCCTACTTGGGCTGCAAATCCTGTCAACTTCAGAATCCAGATTTGACGATAGTTTTATTATCAATTATATACTAATTGTTTTTCTTATTTACAGTCTTTTCACTTAATTGATAACATTCTATACTGTCCAAGTAATGATAATGACATTGCTTGAGTTTTAGGTTGTTCGTGAGCATGATTCACAAGGAAGAGATGTTGAATTATTCCGCCGACACTTGTATTGTCTTGGCAAAATAGGTCCAACTGTTAAGGGGAGTGTGGGTGCAGAGCTTGTGGATGGCCTAGTGATAAAAGAGGGAGATTATAAGGTTGTGAAGACACGTTTTAGTGCATTTTTCTCCACTCATCTTCATTCATTCCTTAAGGGTGCAGGGGTTCATAATTTAGCAATCATTGGTGGGTAAGAATGCTTGAAACATTGTTATTGTTGTTGACCATCTGCTCATTTATTTCCGGATATTTACAATATATTCACATTTGTTTTTATGGCTATGGAATCATGTAGAACCCTAGTTCTTTTCTAATTATTATTTGGACTAATTGATTCTAATCCCCAAATTCTAGAAATTGGCTATGGCACACTTTTTGAAGTTTTGAGAATGGAAAAATTCTCTTCTACTTGTCTTATTTCCTTCACCATGAGGTGCTTATTTTTAGAAAATGAATGCAATTAATTCCTAACACCTTTATGGGGGAAAGAAATAGCAATATATGGTTACTGGACACACCTTAACCATTTGATGATTCCTCCCACTAGGCAAACAAAAATTAAACCAAAATAGAAATTAAACCAAATTCCCTTCTATAATTTTCTACACTTCCCCTCAATCTAGTCTACATATATATTAAGTAAATTTAAATTGGATATAATGCCATCAAATGTCCCTTTTGGTTGAGCTTTTGTTAGAATGTTTGCAATTTGTTGACTGGTTGGAATGTGCATAAGAGTTATAGTTCCATCTTCCATTTTTTTCTTGATGAAGTGTCAATCAATTTCTCCATGTTTGGTTCGGTCATGATGTACTGGATTCTTGGCCATGCTAATGGTTGATTGGTTGTCACACCATACTTTCATAGGAGTGTTAATAGAAGCTTTCAGTTATAATAGTATCCTCCCCATCCACACTCCTTCACATATTCCATGAGCGAGTGCCTGAAATTTAGATTTTGCACTGCTACGAGATACCACTAACTGTTTTTTGCCGCGCCAAGTTACTAAGTTTCCTCAAACATAGATACAGTATCCTGATGTAGATCTTCTGTCTGTTATTGATTCTGCTCAATCGGCATCAGTGAAGATTTCAACATTCCTATTTATTGCCTTTTTGAAGAACAATCCTTGACCCGGAGTTATCTTTAGACATCTTAGAATTCGATATACAGCCTTCATGTGTTCCTCAGTTGGTTGATTAATGAATTGATTTACTGTACTAACTGCAAAGCTGATGTCGGGTCTTGTATGTGTCAAATAGATGAGTTTGCTTACAAATCTTTGATATCTCTCTTTATCAACTTTCTTATCACTAACCTTGGACCCTATTTTTACGGTTGGATCCATAAGTGTATCTTCAGGTTTACTTCCGAGCATCCCTGTCTCCTTTAAAAGGTGTAGAATATATTTCCGTTGTGATACTGAAATTACCTTTTTGGACCGAGCTACCTTCATGTCAAGGAAGTACTTGAACATTTCAAGAT